CATCCATTACACTAGTACTGCATCTCTTATGCCTCCCCTCAGCATTCTCATTTGTTGCCATTTGCAGAACATTCTTTTCCATTTTAGAAAATCATCTACAATCATGCTAACTTTTTTTTTAATTCACAAGTGTGTACTTTTAATGTTGAGTTGAAATTTTTCAGGGTGCCTGGGTGGCTCAGCTGGTTAAATGTCCAACTTTGGCTCAGGTCATGATCTCACAGATCACAAGTTCGAGCCCCACATTGGGCTCTGTGCTGACAGCTCAGAGCCTGGAACCTGTTTTGGATTCAGTGTCTCCCTCTCTCTCTCTCTGCCCCTCCCCCACGTGCACTCTGTGTGTGTCTCTCTCTCAAAAATAAACATAAAAAAAAAGAAAGAAATTTTTCTACATAAACAGAGTACAATGTTAACACAATCTATTGAGTCCAACCTTATAGTATATAGACATTTATATAATATAGCCAACATTTCTAATGACACTATATACTATATTACCTCTGACAAGGGACAATCCACTCTGCCAAGAAGTCTGGACATATTTCCTGATGCCTAATCCAAACAGAACTTCAAAAGATTTGTAAAAACTTGTATCGTTATATTCTATTTAGTAGAATTTTAGGTATATTTAATCTAGTGGCTGTTCTGACATTCACCAAAATATTCCATAAAAAAATGGTTCTGCTGCAAATTTCCAAGTATATGTCCTACATTCCACTGGGATAGTACAAACTGGTCAAGAGTTTCAAAGAGTTTTGTAAATTTACAAAGTCAAGCAAGTGTTAATTCAATTCAAGTCATATTAATTATTCTACCACATGTAAGATACTTTGGTGCATGCTACAGTAAGCAAGACACAGGATCTTCCTTGAAATCTAATATCTCAAAACATAAGCATAAACAGCAATAGCATCAGCCAACGTAGAATAAAATAAATAAGAAAGCTACAAATTCCCAAAAGTTGTTAGGAAAGGAAAAGGCTGACTCCAAATTAGGGGGGAAAAAAGAAAAACTTAATGGAGATTGTGGCATAAAGAAGGATCTTTAAGGATGAAGAGAACATTGAGAGCAGAGATGAAAAGTGAGACCCCAGGCAGAGGGAATACCAAGAACAAAGGCAGAGAAATAAGATGAAAATGTTCTAAGGCTGTCTTCTGACCTCTACTACACACTTCCATTTTACCTGCATGTTAGACCATGAGCAAATATGCAGTATTTCCCACAAGAATTCAAGCAGAGATTCTGTCTTACTTACTCTTGTGTCCTAACATCAAGTACAATGCCTGGCCCAGCTCAATTTAGGGTTTTTTTGTTTTTTTGTTTTTAATTTAGGCTTATGTTTAATAGGTGTCATTGGAATTACCTTGCATCATGGAATAGTAACTGCAGTTTCCAATTATTCATTTATTTGATTTATTCAGTCAAGCTATTGATATAGTTAATAGCCATCATGTGTCTCAAATTCTTTTAACACTGTGGTTGAATTATCAAATGGTGGGAGGAGAGAGAGAAGGTTTCCAATTTGCCTTATCCTTTCATTGACAAACAGGGTCTTCTTAGACCAGGATTCACAAAGAGAACCTTGGGTATGGGTAATTCCAGATCTCCCCACATCCACTGGATTACTTGGCTTGAGAAAGCCCAGAAAGCTCAAGGATCACATAATTATTAGAGGTGTCCACAAAGATTCCTCTAAAGCAGACACTCTTAACCTGAGCTATCAGGAGACCCACAAAACCTCTAAAGCTTTCTGATACGCATAGTATTCATGAGCAAATGTGCCCTTTTTCTTAGAAGATGGTGTATAGATTCTATCAGATTCTCAAAGAGGTGCATAACTCAAAGACACAAAAGTAAAACCAATTAGAAAGATCAAGAAATGTCTAGACTTACACGTCTAAAAGGTGTCATCTTTAGTTTAATGAATCCTGATAGCCTAAGTCATTTCAGAAAAATAAATTACCTCACTGTTTTTGCTGATGTCTCTCAGTTTTATAATGATTTAGGAATTTATTTCCTTTTATAGTACATATTTCTTGCCACTTAAATCCATAATTATATTATTGTAAGTTATCTGCTTTCAGACTTAAAATTTCTTGTCTAAGAAAATTACTCAGCCTTCTGAGTTTCCCTTGTTTATTTTGGTCAAATCTCACTGACTGCTCAGTTTTCGAGCTAAGGCGTGTCTCATTCCCACTTGGGGTTGGAGGCATGTCTGCAGGAGACATTGGATGCACTGTCAGTCCCCTGAATCACCCAATGTCCAGACAGTCACAGTGATTCAGTTACAACAAGCTGTTTGCTAGCACTATACTCTAGGCCAGGGGTAAAGCACTAGCCTCCTCACTTAAGCCCAGAAAACAACAGGGCCATAGAATTCAACTCTGCCTTCACCAAAAAGAAAAATAATAATAATAATAATAATAATAATAATAATAAGGAAGTCTCACTTCCAACACATTCATTGAAAATAGTGCCCAGGAAGGGGTGCCTGGGTGGCTCAGTCAGTTAAGTGTCTGGCTTCAGCTAAGGTCATGATCTCACAGTTGGTGAGTCTGAGCCCCATGTCAGGCTCTATGCTGACAGCTGGAAGCCTGGAGCCTGCTTCATTCACATTCTGTGTCTCCTTCTCTCTGTCCCTCCCCTGCTCACATTCTCTCTCTCTCTCCCTCTCTCTCTCTCTCAAAAATAAATAAACATTTAAAAAAATGAAAAAAGAAAAGAAAATAGTGTCCAGGGAAAGTAGCTTCCCTAATGTTGTGGGCTCCCTCCCATACAATAAGGGTGCTTGAATATTTAATGTTTCCCCCCACCAAAATGTAAGCTACATGAGGGCAGGGATTTTTGTCCCTTGCATTCACTTTTATTTCTGAAATGATGCTAGCAAAACACAGAGAAAATACAGGCTGAATTATGAGTTGGGAGAATGAGTTGACTGGACAACGGAATGAGTTGACTGTATCTATGAAAGCCTGTGAGAACATAAATAAAGTTGCCTCCCTTTCACATCTGTCAGCACTTATATTCCATTGCTCCTCTCAATCTCACCCCCTTTCCAGACTATTCTCTGTCTCACCAATTATATTTATTCTTCAAATCCATTTAAAACCCCATCTCTTCCCTGAAGTTTTCTTTCACCTCAACTTTGTTCCAAAGACCTATACATCTACCATTTATTCATTGACATGTGGTGACCATCTGGTGCTTTGCAATGTCATTAACATAGAAGACACTAAACAAATGTAAGATAAGATCCTAAGACTCTCCATCCAATTCAAGAGAAACATATAACTGGGAAATAATGAAGGAGCCCAATAAGATAATGTCTAACCAAGGGCCAAAATGAGTAATAGAAGCAAACAAAATGCTACAGAAGATTACAATTAGGCGTCTATCCAACCTTGTCTTCCACTGCTACCCTCACTCCATTTTGTCCCAGTGCTAGGAAACAATAACATCATTCCTCCATATCTGGACACTTGGTCTGCCTAGCTGTTCTGCTTGCGTTCTTAATGAATTTTTTTTTATCCTTCAAAACCCAGCTGAGCTGAGAGTCACCTCCTTATTAAGCTTGTTCTTCTTTTCTGTACCCAACAAAATTAACCTTGCTGTCCTTCATACATGTGATTGTTCCTATTATTGCACTTACCATACATACAACTGCTAACCTTTGTGCTTCCTCCCAGACAGTATTCCTATCCCTATCTGACAATAATAAAAATTAGTTGTGTAATGAATTGAATAGCTACAGAAAATTTCTTTGGAATGCCTCATTGCCTCAGACAATTTTCCATTAACAGACACTTGGACCCTAAAACAAACCAAATCTATGATGGCCTCCCATGTGAAATCTTGGCAAACACAGATTCATCACTGCTTTGCACCTGGCGCCTGGGTGGCTCAGTCAGTTAAGCATCCAACTTTGACTCAGAACATGATCTCACTGCTCGTGAGTTTGAGCCCCACATCAGGCTCTGTGCTGACAGCTCAGAGACTGGACCCTGCTTCGGAATCTGTGTCTCCCACTCTCTGTCCCTCCCCTGTTCACACTCAGTCTCTCTGTCTCTCAAAAATGAATAAGCTTAAAGAAAAGTTTAAAAAAAAAGGAAGTTGTTGAATAGACCCAACCAACTTCCATAAAAATATTGTTAAAGAGGTGGCACATCTCAAAAAACTCCCAGTGTAGCCTGGGACCCTGAAAACCTATGATGAGCACTTATTTATTTATTTTTTTGTTAAACAAACCTCAGTGGACACCTGTGTTTTTGCTTAAGTTTCAGTATCTTTCTCCTCATTTAAAATAAAGCAGGCAATTGAACATTTCTGGATGACAATTTGGCCATATCTATTAACATTTAAAACATAGATATCTTTTAATTCAGCACTTCTGAGATTAAAACCTACAGAAATACTCCCACATGTGTGAGACAAGTTTTATAAAGATATTCATTGTACCACTTTTATAATTACAAAATGCAATGGAAGTAGATTAAATGTCCATCAAAAAGAAATGTTACATAATATAACATAACCATTAAATAAATGAAATAAATCTAAATGTACTGACACCTGAAGTCGTCCATTATTTAAGTAATAAAGTTGCAAAGCAATATATAATAGGCCTCACTTTCTAACTGTATACAAAGCTGTACATTCTGATGTTTGATTTACATGTTCACATAACATTACAAACATGACAAAACATACATCTGGAAAGTCGTTTGGGAGGGAGATGAAAGTGAAAGAGGATTGTAATTTTTTTTATTGTCTGCACTTTTTTTTAATTGCACAAGGTATGTCTTCCTGAAATACCCTCTATTCAAATGGTAGACATTGGGTAATATGATGTCTGCAGCTAATAACTCACTTAATGAAGTGTTGGGAAATGAGAGAAACCAAATGATTTCACGGACAGCTAAGTCCTGATTGGTGTCTCAGTTGCCAGCCTCCTGGAATTGAGTTTAAATTCCTTCTACAAACTTACAACTCATCCAAGGGTAAAATTATTCAACACAGAAACTGGAGAAATCAACTGGACTTTGGATATTGTTTTACCTGTACATTTTCCTGAGTGGAGAGAAAGGTAACATCGACTGATGATATTTCAAATAGAACTTTTTTTTTAAATCTTCTCTGAAAAGGGGGAAAAAATAGAGTGAAAGAGTGACATCATTTTGTTATTATAGGCAGCATTTTGAAACATGAAGACTATGATTCTACTGCTTTATCTTCTAGGATCAACTCAGTCATTACCAGTAAGTGCAATATGTTTATTTTATTACCAACCAGCCTCAGCAGCACCCTCTGCTTGTAGACCTTTCTTCCTGCATTCCATCAAAACTGCTCTGTCCTGTAACCCATTCCCTTCGTTTTCTGTTTTTATTTTCCAAAGTGAAAAATGATAAACTAATACGGTTTAGTGCATATTTCAAATTCTTAGATCTTAAAAATGCATCCACTCTAACATAGAACTTTAATTATTTTGGCAGAACAATAGGGTAGAAACCGGGGGGAGGGGGGAGGAATGCTTAAATTATACCTACTCAAAGTAGATAATTATTTTACTTTCCAAATTAATTTAAGACTTTCTTGGAGATCAATTATTTTCTCATGACTAAAGAGGTAGACTGTACTTTCTTCTGACTTTCTTAATTGGAAGCATGAAGCATGAAGACTATATAAACTCTGAAAAGGCTACCAAATTATGCAAGTATATAAACTCTAAAAAGGTTATCAAATTGCACAACAGCAAGGGAATATTACAAAGTGTCTAACATTTTTTACTTAGAACATTTCACTGAAAAATACGTTCACATTTAACAAGTTTTTGAAAGGAAGGAGCACCAGTGTTCTAACACATTCTTCAATTGTCCTCCAATATTTTATAGACGTACGTGTGGGTGGTTTGGATCTCTCGATGGACTTCCCTTTGACCATTTGAGCTGCTTGAGCATGTACACTGAGAAAAAATTAGAAGGAATTTTCTGTGAAATAGAAGAAATGAAAAAACCCATTTATAGTTGAACTCACTGGACACATCTATAATCATCTATACCATCAACAAATACTTAGTGAAAACTCTCTATGTACCCAATCCTGTGCTAGCTGTTGAAGACACAATAGTGGAGGGCAGAGGGGAGGATGTGACCCTTCACGGTGTTCACGAGGATTGTAGCTATTAAATATTTTTTAAAGAAATGTTAAATTATAAATTGTAACTATGATTACTTCTATGAAGAAGATGAACAGGGTGAATTTATGGGTAGAGGATACAACCAATCTCCTTATTTCACTCCAAATACACCTACATCCCTCTTTAAAGAAGCTGTCCACAAAAAAAAAATAATTTGAAACAAGGTAAATTAGTAATTCTTTTACAAAACATGGATTTTTCACTTTAAACAAATTTACCAAAAAGTTTTTCTAGATAGGGTGTCTATGGAGTATTTAAATTACCATACTACTTGTAAAAACTCAAGGTAAATAAAACTTTCCAGGAGCACAGCTATCATGCAAGGTTGACTCAGGAGTGGCATGCAGGTTAATGCAGATTGCTAACAGCCAATGATGTGAGAGCAGTGTGAGTGGTACAGGGGATGTGGGGTGTGACACTGACATGTCTATAAGTATAGTAGTGATATTTACCAAATGAAAAATCATGACACATAGACAAAGTATTTTTTATTATTTGTAGATGAATTTATTAAATTGTCATAAAGCCATAAAAATGAATCAATTTTTAAATGTGGACATTTCAAACAGCCTAGTGATTGTTTTTAGTAGATCCAAAGCTTGGGAATAGGGTACACATTGGTGATGGGACAAGTTGCATATTTAGGAGAAAGGCCAGGGTAAGTGACCCTGACCAATAAAACAGTGCACTCAAGCACTGACTTGAAGCAGGTGAGGGAGTGAGCCAATGTCCGGGGTAAGAACATTGCAGAGAGAAGGAACAGGTAGAGGTGAGGTTTTAGGACAAGAATGAGCCGTATCTGTCCCAAAGACAGCAAACATCTGTCCCAAAGACAGCAGCAGAGTGAGCAAAAGGAAATGGAGTGGGATGGAAAGTCCAGAGAGACACTGGAGGCCCAGGGCATGAGGACTTTCAGATCATTGTAGGGTCTCTGATTTTTACTCTGAGTGAAAATAGAAGTCAATGCAGAGTCTGAGCAGAAAAGTGAAAGAACCAGACTATCGTTTTCAAAGAACCACTCTGGCTGCCATGCTGACAATAGATTGTAGGGATTGAAAAACACACTTACATAATCTTACAGCTTAAGGGGACCTCTAAGGACAATCTTACTTCTTACAACTGAGGGGTAAGTCCAGAGTGAAACCAGTCAGTAGAAGCTTCAAGATAATATCCAAGTTACCCAATGGCTGATGCAGTGCTGGAGGGCCATACCACACTGCCCTCTGGGATGCAGCGGGGAGCATAGGCAAACTGGAGTCAACCTGGCCAGGGAGCTTCTACCTAAATGCAGAGAAGCTAATGAAAAAGGATTTATTTCTTCAAGGACTAAGAGAACTTGCAGGGATCCTGGTGGATGGCTCTGCCGTTCACCGTATCACCTTGGGCAGGTAACTTTGCTTCTGTGGACCTCAGTTTCCTCGTCTATAGAACAAAACCATACAACCAGATGATGTGGATGTCAAGGACATTTCACCCCTACACGTTGGCTATTTTTTTATGGTTTATTTATTTTTGAGAGAAAGAGAGAACAGAACAGTGGCAGAGAGAGGGAGACAGAGAGAATTCCAAGCAGGTTCGCCACTATCAGCATGAAGCCTGATGAGGAGCTCAAACCCCTGAACCATGAGATCATGACCTGAGCTAAAAACCAAGAGCCGGAAGCCCAACCTACTGAGCCATCGAGGTGCTGCAAGATGGTTATCCTTAATACACTAGGAGGCCAAGAAGGAGATTGAATCTCCGTTACATGAAATGATTTGTCAGGCACAAGACAGAAGCAGGAAGCTTCATGAAAAGGGAGTAGAAGTTATGGCAGCTTACCTTCAGACATTGGGAAAAAGCAAATGTTACAGAGTTAAGGTGCAGACTATGTATTTCGTGTCCTGAAAAAAGGAGGAAGGCAGTTACAGAAAAGGAAGCCTAGGAACTACCATAAGAAACTTACGTGCCCGACCCCACAGTAGACCCTTCCCCACCACACCTCTGTGGTCTCACATTTTTTGACTCTACAATTCCATCCCCTGTCACACACCAAACTTTCCAGGGAACTAAAACTTCTCCAGAGACATCTGTGCATTTGGGACAACTTGTAACATCCTGGAAATAAATGGATACAAAATCTCAGACACATTCCCGCCTCATCTAATATTTGTTAATTGCAGACACAGCTCAACCCTGCTTTGGGACTTCCAACAAAACTGGCTCTAGATCAGGCAACTCTTCTAAACCAACAGCAGCTAAATCAGGTAAGAGTCCTACAAGGCAGAACATTTGCAGCCAACAAAGGAAACATGTTAAGACTGGGGAATTTAAAATCAAGATTTACATAGTCTTATGCCCGAACAAGAGAGAAAGGCTTCCTTTTGGGAAGAAAAAACAAAAAGGACTAACATACTTTTTGAAATTTTTGAGCAAGAAAAGCAAAATATCTTCATTCTTTTTCTTTTGTCTTATTGTTTAGCAACCAATAGTAAATTCTGTAAAGCAATAGCTACACCTATTGACAAAGCGTGGTCATCAATGTCCTTGAAATACTGTGACATAGTCGTATGTGATATCTGCCAGAGCTAGCAGGGATTAAGAGGTAATCTATAAAAATAACTGCATATTTCCTTGTAGTTTTCTTAAGTTCCATTGTTACTGATAAGCTTATATCACTGTAAAATCTGTTTCTTTAAAACATATTTAAATATTTTTGAAAACTGCATCGTCTCTTGGCTTTCACCTTCTCAATCCAACCCTGGTTCTGCTCTAAAGGATCCCTCCTTTCCTACCTCTAAATGTTGTGAAATAGTACTATAACAACAAAGTCCAAAGTTCTCTTTTTAGTCTGTGGACATTAGAGAACACTCAAGTCAGGAGCCCATCTCACTCCCTAAGGAACCTGAAGCTTATACAATTTGGGGATGCTGTTTAAGCAAAAGAAGACAAAATTAGCTATGTGAAATTAAGTACTAAAGTGTATAATTTACTATGAGATAAGAAATGAGAGTAAGTTACATATTTTTTAATATTTATTTATTTTGAGAAAGAGAGTGCGAGAGCAAGAAGAGGCAGAGAGAGAGAATGCCAAGCAGGCTCTACACTGACAGCACAAAGCCTGAGACAGGGCTTTATCCAGAGAATCAAGAGTTGGGTGCTTAACCAACTGTGCCACCCAGGTGCACTGACACACTTTTAAACTCAACACATTGCTAGGGCACCTCTGAGGGCCATGGAAGGAGTCAAGCTTCACCTCCATTTACCTTCATCCTAAATCTACCTAAATCCACCTGTAATGGGAGTATAGGTACTTGAGGATATCCAGCACGGACAGCATGGTGGCAACAGACAAGCTCTGGTCTCACATCAGTTTCCATGCCCTGCAGGTCTTCCCCTCTTTAAGTCTAATACCGCTGACACAGATGATCACACTGGGCGCAGATCTGCAGCTGGTAAGACTCTTTTATATCATTTTAATATCCGTTGTTAAATGCAATACGTAATGTTTAATGTCCATGTGTGTGTTCCCACAAATACACGCACACACACATTCATTGTAGATAAGTTGAAAGAGAACACAAAAAAGTAGGAGCATTGGATGCTCTTCAGTACATCATTCAAAGTTTTACTTAGCAAGAGGGTTTCTAAAAGAATTAATCAAATTTTCATGTCTTTGCTGCTTTTTTTCTTTTTATCTCTCCTTCAAGCTCCTCTACACATTCCTCCAACATATTTCCCTCACTGCACCCTACAGTGTTCACGCACCCACACAAACGCTATGACCACTAGACGAGAGAAAACTAGAGACACGAGAAAACTAGAAGGGGTAGAAAGATCCTCACTCTTCTCGTGGATTATCTGTATGGTTTACTCTGGGAGAGGAAACATAATAAATTCCTTTTTTGATTGTTAAGATTGAAACATAGTATTAAACCACATTCAGACTAGATATTTCACTGTGACCTTCACAATTTTTATGGGGATACCTGTAAAGGAATTAATTTCTTTATAAGAAAGCTATCAAAAAATCCCAGGAACCATTGTTACAGCCAAAAGGGGAAAGTGAGGATAAAATCACCTAAGTAATCCTCAAGAAAATGGGTTAAATGCCAAAGGAAAACTTAATATGGGAAAAGTTAGTCCTGGACCTTATGGCCGTACTAGTACACTAAGTAAGTCTTTGAACTTCATCTCTATACCTAATTCCTAAAGCAATAGTATATTGCATACTATTTTTCAGGTCTGCATACTAGACACATATATTTGCATAGCAAACCCGTCCTTTAAACATATTTTAACTTTGGTAAATACATTTTGGTTTCTTGAATGGCCAACCTGAAACAACACAGTAACAATCTTTTTCATTGCCCTACAGCTAAATCCTCCTGCAGGGCTGGCGCCTGGTACCCAGACCCTCCCACTGACCCTGGGGGGATTGAATACACAACAGCCACTGCAAGCCCAAGTAAGTTCAAAACAGTTCAGTTCAACAAGGGGGAGCATTTTCTATCAGGTGGAACCCTAAAGGGGAGGAAAGAATTTTTTTAAGGTTCTCGAAAATTTCACCCAGAAATTTACAGAGGAATGTCCAATTGAACATAGAACATCTTTGGCAATTTGGTTCTTGATGAAAACACACAAGGAAAGCCAAGCACGCAACCCCATACCCTCTCTAGAATACATTTGTAGCGGGTAACAGGGAAATGTGAAGAGCTGTAGAAGACTGAAAAGTCAAGAATATAAGGGGAGAAACTGAGAGGTAGCAGGATTCTTTTCTTGCTTGCTGTTTTCCATAGAGGACTTCCTGGGTGACCACAATCATCCCAAAGAGAAATCAAGAGATGGATAAAGTTTATTCCCAGCAAATCCAGTCTCCTGTTTATGCCCTTTTTTCATGCCTCCTCTCAAGTGCTCAGTGACTCTCTAGTTCCTTTTCCCCTCCCATCATCACTTGCTTTCAGGAAAAACCCTGAAAAACCCTCCCCCACTAAGATATAAATGACATACATGGGGCATCACTCCTGTCAAAAGTGTTGCATTTTACCTACAGACAAAGTCCAAGTTTTACCTTCTTAAAACTTCTCTAAATAAGCTTAGTGACTCTGGAGAAAAACACAATGATCCCTTTACAGCTAGACTAAGTTGTTCATAGATAAACACATGAACTCAGCCCTTATCATTCCCACATAATGGTCTCATTTTTGTAGAAGCTTTTTTATGTATTACATATATAGTTGATGTAAGTTATATAGAATTATGAAAATATAGAAAGCAAAAAGAAAAAGAACATTCACTCATAATCCTATCAGCCAGAACTAAACACTGTCAGCATTCTAGGGTATGACCTTCCAGTCCTTTTTCTACACATGTAAGTACATTTTTTTTAAGAAAATATGAGTATTGTACATTTTTCAAAGAAAATGCATATATATATATATATATATAGACACACACACACATATATACATGTATATGCATATATGATAGAATTCTTTTTTTTTGTTTGTTTGTTTTTGTTTTCAACGTTTATTTATTTTTGGGACAGAGAGAGACAGAGCATGAACGGGCGAGGGGCAGAGAGAGAGGGAGACACAGAATCAGAAACAGGCTCCAGGCTCTGAGCCATCAGCCCAGAGCCTGACGCGGGGCTCGAACTCCCGGACGGCGAGATCGTGACCTGGCTGAAGTCGGACGCTTAACCGACTGCGCCACCCAGGCGCCCCTAGAATTCTTTTTTTTTAAGTTTATTCATCCATTCTGAGAGGGGGTGGCGGAAAGGGACAGAGAGAATCTTAAGCAGGCTCCATGCCCTGTGCAGAGCCCAACAGGGGGCTCGATCCCACAAACCCATGAGATCATGACCTGAGCCAAAATCAAGTCAGACACTTAACCAATTAGCCACCTAGGCTCCCTTCACTTAATATATTTTTAATAGTCTTTGTATTTTGAAATATTCACTAATAAAATGGTTTTTAATGATTGCTTAGCATTCCATCATATTGTAAAAATTGTGGGGTTTTTTTCACCCAAATGTGTGCTTCTATAAACAATATTACAGTGAATATCCTTTAACTAAGTCTTTGATCATGTCAATGATTATTTTCTTATGACCAGTTCTTAGGAACAGAATTTTGAGATCCAAAGACATACAAATATGTAAGACTTTTAATACACATTCCCAAATTATAAAACATGAATACAACAATGGACCAATATATTCTAAAATCTTCCTATCACTATGGACACTTCCAGGTCTTAATAAGAGCAAGCTTAAATTAATTAGTAATTATAATCAAAGCTGAGTTTAACTGACAAAATAATTTTAAGCTGCTCAACTTAAGTTTTATGTCATATGCAACTAAGTACTTTCTCTGTACTTTCATTTATCCAAAATAACACAGGGAACTCTATACTGCTTCATTTATTCATATTTGTGAAATTCTGTGACATAACTAATTTTTACATTTCTTTTTTAATATTGAGATGTATCTTATCTATCAGACAGTGCTTATTTCTTACATACATATTAGAGAAAGACTAAAAAGACTAGAGACAGGCAAATAAAATGAGAATCTCCTTAACACATGCCCCTGATATAATCCATATGCTAACTCCCCAGCTTCAGTTTCAATTGTCACCCTGCTTCAACCTTGAAGTCAAATTTAGTACATCTTCAAATTCACCAACAAACATCCACTGGAGTCAAAAGCATTAGTAGGCACCACAGAAGTTACTAAAGATGCAGTAGACTGGGTTTGACACTGCATGCCCCCAACATGCAATAATATAAATCAATCCCCATTCTCAGTAGGGATTCTTCAGTGTCTCCAGGATATGCCACCACCAAGGGTCCCCATACCTGACTTCCTGTGCTGCCCCAGCTCCTTGGAGCCTGCCTCTCCCTATGCAGAGTAGCTTATATCCTCTGCCAGAAACCTGGGCACATGTGCACAGCTCTCATTTATCAACCCAAAGCCAACATGGTTAAGAACGCTAAGGGTGCCTGGGTGGCTTAGTCAGTTAAACATCTGACTCTTGATTTCGGCTCAGGTCATAATCTCAGGGTTCATGGGTTCTAACCTGATATCAGGCTTCATGCTGGCAGCACAGAACTTACTTGGGATTCTCTCTTTCCCTCCCCTGCTTGCATGCACGCTCTTTCTTTCAAAATAAATAAGTAAACATTAAAAAAAAAAAAAGAGTGAACTCCTGAACCATAAAACTTTGGTCAAATCCCAGCTCCCTAGTCACTACATGTATGGTCAAGTTACTTCACCACTCTGTGGTGCACTTTCCTCATGATTTAAAATAGGAATTAAAGGGGCGCCTGGGTGGCGCAGTCGGTTAAGCGTCCGACTTCAGCCAGGTCACGATCTCGCAGTCCGTGAGTTCGAGCCCCGCGTCAGGCTCTGGGCTGATGGCTCTGGGCTGATGGCTCGGAGCCTGGAGCCTGTTTCCGATTCTGTGTCTCCCTCTCTCTCTGCCCCTCCCCCGTTCATGCTCTGTCTCTCTCTGTCCCAAAAATAAATAAACGTTGAAAAAAAAAAATTAAAAAAAAAAATAGGAATTAAAGTTGAACCTACCCCTAGGGCTATTATAAGAATCAAATGAGCAAATAAACATAAAACACTTAGAACAGTGCCTACCACACAGTAAACACTCAGAAGTGTTAGCTATTTTTATTTCAAACAATTTCTCTACCAAAAAACTTATAAAAATTTTTTCTCCTTATTGTTACACTGGTTAATAACTAAGTTATTTTTTGTTAAACTTTTTATTTACACATCTGTGGTTTCCTGTTTGTATCTTTTCGTTCCTTCAAATTGGCCTTTAAAGAAGAAATTTAATTATGCTTTTTTTCCAAATCCTGAGCACCCCTTCCCCTCAACCCACTTTCCCATTGCCATTCTGAGGATTACTCGGTTGTTTTGCCAGTAATCAAGAATCTGATTGACAGTAAAACTTTTTCTAAATGTATATACTTAAATGCATGTACCTTTTGGCATTATGGGTATTACTGTGCAAACTATCTTGGGAAATTACAAAGTTAAGAGTCCATTTCATAAGACTTTTGCATCTTTGGTGTGGTTAGTATTAAAATCCCCATTTTGATAACTTTCGTGACACTATGTGAATTTCTATAGAGATTAAAATAAACTTTAAAAGCCTAGTTCTCTTGGACAAACTCTAGGTTAACTCTTAGAGTACTAGAGAATGTGAACCCCCTCACCAAAATCTTTTCAACTAAAACTTCATAATGATGTGATTTGAAGTGGGGGTCTGAGAGTGAATGGCCAAGAAAGAATTCTTGAGACATTTTTGGTGCAAAAAAGTGGTTATATTTAAAGCACCGGGACACAGGACTGAGGGCAGAAAGGGCTGTCCTGGGGATTGTAAGAAGCTGTTGGTTTATATACTTTTAAATTGGGAGGGGCAGAGAAAAAGAAAAGTTCACAAAAGGTTTTCATATGTTAAAGAAGACTTATAGGATCCTGGAGGCCTAGCTATTGTCAAGCTAAGGTTGTTTTTTCCTCTAGCAAAGCATTAACATTAAGATTGGGAGTTCCTATAGGAATGTCATACTCTGCCAGCCTCAAGTATTTGTCAGTGGGCTGCAGGTTATGTGGAAATTTAATTTTATCTACATTTCTTTTGCCTTTGTTCTCCATATCAATAACATTCGTGTGATTATCAGTGACCAGTAAAGTATTTCTCACTCAGTTCTAAGAACTGCCAGTATCAAGATTATAGAACAACATCATCCATCATTTTCTACCAGTGCTCTATTTTAACAGCAAAATATCCAGGTAACCATCATGAGACTAAATATATTTGCTTCAATAAATCTTTGTATTTTAGAAATCTGTTTTTTAGTGTATCTTCTGAGGTGCCATATAAAAGAAATACATGCATTTTATCCTCATAATTACTTGTAATAACTTTCAGTTTGGAGATAGCTTGAGACCAAAATTAGTTTTTGCTCGTCCAATTTAGTAACTTCTACCTCCTTAATGTGCTGCCTTGGACTAGTTTCCAAATCCCTCTGGGTTGAATCTGCTTTTTACACATCAGATGAGTTTCAGTTCCCATCCAACTCGATGGGCCTCTATGATTAGCTGATACATTGGTAACAAATATTTGTTCAAGGTATATTGTATACTCTTAAGAAAGTCCCTATATTTATATCATCTGCTTTGAGCATATTTTTTATTGAATTTTTCACTCTTTTTTCAGATGTTGCCAGTTATTGTAGCACACCTTGGAGCCCAGGTAAGATTGTTTTGCAATGTGATTTTTACTTTAAATCAGTTTAGTGTGAAATATGTCATCCTGCCTCAATTCAGCAGATAGTTGCCAAGTTTCCTGTTTACTTTGCACTGTATGAACACTGATAGTAATGAGCTAACACTTATTGAGCATTTACTACACACGAGGCACTGTTCTAGGCATCTAGTTATTTGTTATATACTATCTCAGTATTCAAAACAACCTTTTAAAGACAATCTTTTTTTTGAGAGAGAGAGAGAGACAGGCAGAGCAGGAGCAGGGGAGGGGCAGGGAGAGAGAGGGAGACACAGAACCCAAAGCAGGCTCCAGTCTCTGAGCTGTCAGCACAGAACCCAATGCAGGGCTCGAACCTGTGAACCATGAGATCATGACATGAGATGATAGATGCTTAACCAAGCCCCTGGTTCATATCAATTCTTAATTCCACATCTAGAAACACATTCAAATGAAATAATCTGAAATACAGCAAAAGTTTATTTACAAACATATCCATCAAAATAATAATATTTGTAATGAAGAAAAACATTGGATGCAATTTAAATTTAAACAAAAAGGAAATGTTCAAGTAAATGGTACAACATAGAGCAAATACTTTGTGACCATCCAAAAAGGATATTTATTTATTCGATTTTGTCACTAGTAAGGTTAAATGATTATTGATGTAGTATTAAAAGAAAAAGTAAGACCCAAATTATATAAATGACATAACTTCTATTATGGAAAAAAGACATGTGTGAAAAACATCTGGAAGAAAATCCATCCAACTCTGTACAATGGCATTATACTTTTTTTCTTTGTTGCTTTCTACATTTTCCAAGTTTCCTCCAATGTGCATGTATTACTTAATAATAGAAACATTTATACTTTTTTAAATGCAGAAGACTTCACATCATTCAGATAATAAGTGTTAGCAGTCCAATATCATATGCCAGCTTGAATTATATGACACAAGTCACAGAGGCAGTTAAAATATTGTTGAAAATTTTTAAATGTCTCTTTACAAATTTTATAAGTATCTTAAGTTTTTAAGTTATGTTATACATATCTTGCTTCAAATATATTAAAATTTGTCTAATAACTTGTGTTATTATTGTCCTTTTAGGGTACCATCCTAAGCTCAGAAGAATTGGTAAAATATATACATATATATATATATATACACACACACACACATATATAATTATATAAAATGTATATAAAAAATATATATATATAAAAAATTACTAGCATTTCAAATTCTTTTCCCTGCTATCACAATCCTTCTTTCTGTCCCCACACAATCTCTTTTGACCACACCTGCTAACCCTCGTGCATGCTTCTATAAACCGAACATTTTTATAGGTCCTTGCATTAATTTATCCTTTTCTAGCTGAAGATTTCACTATCCTTCTCCAGATAGTGGAGACTTAGCTTTTGTTTTCTCTATATTGATGTCAAATTCAATTCTATCCAGAAATCCAATGCATATTTTTAAAATGCATAGATTAAAATCTAGGATTCTAAATTATCAAAAGTCATACAATGTATAATAATATACATATTGATATTTATTGAAAGAAAGATTCATTTTCTTGGCTTAAATTTTTAACTTTATGAAAATATGTTTTTTTTCTAGCATCTTATAGTGATGGATGAACTCTTCCCTATACACAGAAATAACTAGAGGGCTGAACCTAAATGAAACTCATCTTGCCATTATTAGACACTTCTATACATTTCCCCTTAAGTCATGTCAGAAAAAAAATGATTTGAATTAATGCAGTATCTAAACATGACACTGAAGTTAAGAGTTGAGGCAGTGTCTTGGAAGATAGGTTTCTTTGAAATCTTTCTATTATGAAAAAGGTAGAGATTTGCTAGATTGTTCACAAATAAAATCAAGTAATGGGGCTTTTCTGCAACAATGGAACATCCACATCTACCAGTCATTAAGCCAATTCTGTGTAACACGTACCTTGGTAGATCTTTTACATACATTGCCTTTAAGTCTCACCAAGTGACAAAGTACAGATTTTTAAAACTATGCCCAAAGTGGGGCTTGAACTCACAACCCCAAGATCAAGAGTTGCATGCTCTACGGACTGAGCCAGCCAGTCCACAAGAACACAAAGAACAGAGTTGTAACCCAACTTTATAGGTAACAAGACTGAGGCTCAGAGAACCCAAGCACCTTAGGTTCCAAGGTCACGAAACAGTATATTCGGATCAAAAGCCATTTTTCGATCCATTATACCAGTGGTTTTCAAACTTTTTTTCAGTAAAACTCATGGTAACAGCTATATTTTTCATGCAGCTAACACAACACACATACACACATGCACACACACAGAACACTTCATGAAATAGTATTTACCCTTACTGTAGAGAATGCACTTGGTAATTTATAGTCTATTCTTTTTATCTTATTTTTTAATGATGGGCATTACTGCCTTCTTTATTTCAAATCTATGGAGGCCATGACCCCCAGCTTGAAAACATCTGTGTTCTATTCCTGTCTCTCATCTGCCGTAAGTCTAATTCTGGTTTCAGTACCTGGTAAATCTAAGACAGTGTTTTCAAAAACTTTATTTTTTAATTTTTTTTTTCAACGTTTATTTATTTTTGGGACAGAGAGAGACAGAGCATGAATGGGGGAGGGGCAGAGAGAGAGGGAGACACAGAATCAGAAACAGGCTCCAGGCTCTGAGCCATCAGCCCAGAGCCCGACGCGGGGCTCGAACTCCCGGACCGCGAGATCGTGACCTGGCTGAAGTCGGACGCTTAACCGACTGCGCCACCCAGGCGCCCCTCAAAAACTTTAGTGTTGGCTCACAAATCAAACAACTCAGGGTGTTGATAAAAAAAAAAAAAAATGCAGATTTCTGGATTCTGCCCTAAAGTAGCTCAATCAGAATCTCTCTAACAATAAAGCCTAGGAATTACCTTTTAAATAAACTTCTCAGGCCATTCTTTTTTTTTTTTTTTTTTTAATGTTTGTTTATTTTTGAGAGGGAGAGAGACATAGTGTGAGTGGGGGAGGGGCAGAGATAGAGGGAGACAGAGAATCCAAAGCAGCTCCAGGCTCTGAGCTGTCAGCCCATAGCCTGACGCAGGGCTCAAACTCATGAACTGTGAGATCATGACCTGAGCCGAAGTCAAATGCTTAACCGACTGAGCCACCCAGGCGCCCCCTCAGGCCATTCTTATACAAACTTACAATTAAGAACTATGCTCAAAGAAAATGACCTGTATCTTAATTATGAGCCCTCAACCCTTCTTACTCAATGTCAACATTATCAGAGCTGAGGGGTTTCAGAGAACAAGTCCCGCCTGAATTCTCTCCAAATCCAGTTTATACTAAATTATTTTTTCTTAGGAAGAATTTCTTACAGTAATTTTTTCCAGGGGAAAAAAATAAATGCAGGCAGCAACATTTATTTCCAGTGTGCAAATCATTGACAGACCTATCCATAGGAATTCCGCTGAGTAGCCTCAAGGAATAAAGAAGTGGTTGAAATGACAAGAGAAATATTTCTAACTGAATATTCCAATGCCTTTGAAAAATAAATCAAAAGAAACCTGAAGAGATGCCAACCATGAGATGAGGATTGATTGACTACTTGGATTAATTTTTCCATTAATGTTTAGTATCTTAAATTACTTTAAAAACTTTTGGGCAAAAGAGAGACTATAATTTAGGTTAATAGCAGAGAGAAAGCCCAGCATAATAGTATGGATTTTCTGCCTTAGTTCTATCTCCACATACACCTGAGATGAGCAAATTTTTCATTATTCCTTTTCCCATGACTGGCTTGATTCTGATGTGTCCTTTCTGATACAACATGGAATTGTAGTCACAAAACCAGCATCAGCCTTGCTCAGTAGAAGGAGGCATTTCCTCTAAGGAATGCCCAATCTTGATTATCTTGTCTGACTCTACCATTCTGGTCCTGCGTTTCCTACCTCAACTTGCTACCCTCAAAGGAGAAAAGACTGGTTGACCAGCATTAAAATGTGTCTTTTGACTTTGTTTGCATTTTCCCTTCCTCATTCCAGCCAATGGCCCCACAAATCTTCACAGGCCTCATTTTCCAGCCCCTGTTCCCAGGATCCATCCTGCCCAACAGTCAAGCTAATCCAGATGCCCAGAATGGAATCCTTCCTGCAGGGCAAGCAGGAATGAATCCTGCCATCCAGGGAACCTCAGAAGGCTTCTCTCCAACTCCTAGTGACACAGATGATGACTTTGAAGTGACGGCCCCTGCAGGCATCCGAAGGGGCATGCACACTACCCAGGAAACCACCACAGGGCCGCCAAATGGTAAATACTCTGAGCCAGGAAAATGCCTTGTGAAAGTCATCTGCAGGGTGGGAGCAGAGTTGTCTTGCCTCGACAAATACGGATCCTAATAAAACCAGGGATCCCCTATACCTAACACTCACAGTTGATTCCAGTACTGTGAGGGAGTATTTTTATTGGGCCACCAATTCTATTGTATCAACCCAGAAAGGAGACATTTAGTTGCTGGCATAACATACTTTCTATCTTAGGTCTGATCTGGGAGTATTTGGAAACAGACTGTCCTTTCCCTTTCTCACCTCCCTCTGACTCCCAAACACATGCAGGCCCGCAGCAGTCACAGTTAATCAATCATAATACTTTTGTCCACTCACCCATCATGGATGAGACACAGAACCTTCTTAACCTAGTGTTGGAAGCAGTAATACTTCCTGTCTATAGTAATAGTCATAGTAATAGATAGGATTTAGCACAGTAGGTGAACATATGTGCCATTATCTTGAGATGGGACTTAAGAAATGTTGCAAAACTAAGCTCTTTAAGTACCAACAAGCAGAAATAATCATTTAACATGTACAGATCTCTGGAACCAAATGTCCTTGGAAAGAACAAAAGAATGATTTGAGATGGATACTCCTAGAAAAGAAATTTTGATCTCAAGTAAAAATGTTTCAATCCAATATGCTTTTACCTACATTTAAAAAGTGTTTTGTTTTCTTCCAGGAAATCAGTAAGCTGTTTCAATTTTTTTTTTCAACTAAGCCGCCTCAAATGCAAATCTTTTTCACTGATCATATGATGGAATAGATGGAGACACACTAGAGAGTATCAGAAGAAACTCTTAGTTTACCTAACTTTCTTGGAATTTCAGAAAATATATTCTTCCTGGAGAATAATGACTTCTGAAAACAAATGGATAAATTTGTCTTTGAAATGTAACGTTATGCCACCTTGGACTTGGAAAGTATATGTATTAAATGTATTTTGAAACTGAATTTTTTTCTTCTTTGGGGAGAGAAGAAAGTGGGACCCTTTCAGAAACTGCATTACATCAGGACTTAGATGATGTTCCAGATGGAGGGCTTTCTTTGGAGTAGGAGGCACTGCAGTCACGGAGTGGATATTGAGCAATGTAAAGATAATTTCTGATTTCCTCACAACCAACTTATTACCCACTCTCTCCCATAAGAGCCACAGCTTTAATTTTCTACAAGCACTCCCAAAATATGAACTGGAAACAAAGAATTGTAAATCACACTGCCTGTCCTCAAGTTGCTTAAATACAGAGTTAGGGATTTTGGCATTTAGTGCTTTCTTTTGGTATATCTAAAAGTGAGAAATGACATGAAGTAATCACTAAAAGTGATTCTCTTGCTCCACACATCTAAAAGGTAGAATTTAGTCTGAATGAGTTTATAACTCAGACCACCACAGTTCATTCAGAGTGGGAAAGAATGGAAAGGATTCACAGAAACCACAATAGAGCCCCACAAAGGGAAAACATGGATAGGTTTCATAACATCTCTCACTATGTTTGACTCAGCCCCATCAGTATGGAACAAATCCAAATATATATGCCATGATAAGCTTTTCAGGTGGTTAAAGATTTACTAATGGCTGACCATTTATTAGCCACAATGTTTCAGATTTGCAGAGTATGAATAATATACTTACAAACTGTCAAAGTTTTCATAGCCAAATTGAGTAAATCAAGACTGAATTTTCCAAAACTATTTTTCCATTAGTGCCATGTGATACTAATTAAAAGAGCTATCAAATGGTTTCCTGGATGACCCATTATCAAAAAAAAAAAAAAAAAAAAAAAAGAACACATTCTCTCTTAGCCTCATTTTTCTCATCTGTAAAATGGGAGCAAAAAACCCTGCTATAAATGTCCCACAAGGTTTACACAAGTAGATAGTGCATAAAAGTGCTCTGCGAACTCCACACCACTATAAACTTTTAGTAGCCTTGTAGCCAATTGAAATTATCTGTCCTTTGAGATCCACCCTTTGTCCCTATCCTTCCTCTCTGTGCTTTAATTATCAGTTTAGTTGTATGATTACCAGTTAGACAATCTAGACCGGGTGTCTTCCTAGAGCATGCTACTCCTGCAGGAACATGAAGACTTTCCAAGGGCTACAAACAGATGGTTCCGAGGGTGACATCTCCATTCTTAACCCCCCCCCACATGTGTGTTTTGCAAAGACTGACCTTGATCGAGAACACGTCTCCTCTTCCTTCTCTCCTTCTCTCCTTACATAGTCTCTTTCCCAGCATTACCCAAAAAAGGACTATGTCTTACCTACCACCAATCTCACTGTGGGAAATTGCTCTGTCATAGAACACCTCCAAGATACATAACAAAGAATTTCAAATATTGGTGCTGATGTTGAGAATGAAAATAACCTTTTGCAACTCAGTAGTTTCTTGTTCTTAGCTTCCAACAAAATTAAGTGAGGACCTAATGGAATTATCATGTAATTGATCATTGAAAAAAATTTTTTTAAGTTTATTTATTTTGAGACAGAGACAGAGAGTGCACAAGCAGGGGAGAGGCAGAGAGAGAGGGAGAGAGAAAGAATCCCAAGCAGGCTCCACCCTGTCCCCACAGAGCCCAACATGGGGCTCAAACTCACAAACTGAGTTTGTGACCTGAGCTGAAATCAAGAATCAGATGCTTAACCAACTGAGCCACCCAGGCATTCCAGAGACAGAATTTTTAGAGGATGGATTCCTGAAAGTGAATTACTGGATAAAAGGATATGCTTTTTAATGTTTAAAATTTTGATAGATATTGGCAAATTATTCTCTAAAATGGCCATGTGGATGTACTTCTACCAATATTTCTCTACATCTTTTCTTTCTTTTTTATTTTTTAAATATAATTTATTGTCAAGTTGGCTAACATACAGTGCATACAGTGTGCTCCTGACAGTAGAGATTAAGAATATATGAAATTAAAAATGTTTAGTTATCCATTCACTTAAAGACATCAATAATAAATAAATTACATGTTGGTACAAATAACATATTTTTACATGAAAAATACTGTTTTTGGGGTGCCCAAAGCATCTGACTTTGGTTCAAGTCATGATCTCATAGTTCGTGAGTCTGAGCCCCACATCAGGCCCTGCACTGACAGTGAGGATGGGATTCTCTCTCTCTCCCCATCTCTCTGCCTCTCCCTCTCTCTTTCTCTCTCTCTCCCTCTCTCAAAATAAATAAATAAACTTAAAAAAATAAAAATAATGAAAATGCTGTTTTATTAATGAGAAAGCCTTATTTAATTAAGAAAATGTAGTGAGAAGAGTGGATTTATCTTTGAAATTTCTCTCCTGTCTGACTTAACAAAAGATACAATTCTCGGAGCATCTGGCTGGCCCAGTCGGTAGAGCATCCGACTCCTGATTCCAGGGGTTGTGAGTTCAAGTCCCATGCTGGGTGTGGAGCCTACTTAAAAAAAAAAAAAAAAAAAAAAGATAGGATTCTCATACCTACTTCTGCATTCAATCTGTATGTATCTGTCGTAATATCACATACATAACTGCTCAAAATTCCACTGAATACTCTTGAGAAAATGAGAATGGAAAGGCAAAATATAATCTCTGTATCACTACAAAAGTATTTTAACTCACTGATGTACCAAAAGGATACCAGGGACCCCCAAGGATCATCACCAAACTTTAAGAACAATTTTGAGCATTGTAGCATCCATTCTTTTTTAATCTTCTCCCTGGAATTATATTGAAAATATATGGTGACCTATCACAGGTGTGTGACTTCACACACAGGCCTTCTCATTCTTATTCTACAAACACAGTAGTTTTGATACAATCAGTTTCATTCAATTCCCACCAAAGAAGAAAAAAAAAACTATAGTAAATATGTAATTGTATACGCTGCAGTATTAAATTTTTTTTTTCAACGTTTATTTATTTTTGGGACAGAGAGAGACAGAGCATGAACGGGGGAGGGGCAGAGAGAGAGGGAGACACAGAATTGGAAACAGGCTCCAGGCTCTGAGCCATCAGCCCAGAGCCCGACGTGGGGCTCGAACTCACGGACCGCGAGATCGTGACCTGGCTGAAGTCGGACGCTTAACCGACTGCGCCAACCAGGCGCCCCTGTGCTGCAGTATTAAATCTATTCTTGGCAATTGAGATCTTCCCATTCAACAAAGCACCAGTGAAAGCTGAAACCTGCTGTCAACTTTACAGTCTGATTGCTAAATTTTCCACAGACAAGTCTCTGTCTTTAAACATCATACAGAACTTTTTTTTTCTTCCCTTACCACATACTTCTGCTTCCAAGCACCACAAGACAAGTTCATACTGCCTTCACTTTGGTGTCCCAAAATTTGGTGGGTTGAGTCGCTGGGGCAGGGGTGGGGAGGACAGTTAGGAGTATTCCCAAGAGCCATGTGCGAAATGAAACAACCAGATCAACTTAATTATTCACAACCCATATAAATATACCCCACCAAATTCAATATGTCCCTAAATCAACCTTCCTTAGGCCCATCCCCAAAATCCCTGTGATCACCCCAATGCTATTTGACACAAGATAGAGTAAGATGAAAGGAAAGTCAAGGTGAGAGAGTCAAATGTTTTCACTGGTTGTGGTTAAAATATCTAACTATTTCAAGAGCTGCAAAACATAAGACTCTGTGAGCACATTATTAGCCTCCTCTCCTCTCAGGGGCTAGGAAGGAACCCATACAAGTGAAGAGCACTGCAGCGTGAACTTGAACTTCATTAGCTTCATTATAAACCCACCTCTGTCTCCTAGATCTAGACATGTGCTTTGTGTTATGTTTACATTAATCCTTTTTATGTCCTCATTAAAAGGCAAAATGTAATAATATCTACTTCATTCTAGATGACAAGGGGTGCCTGGGTGGCTCAGTCGTTAAGCGTCCGACTTCGGCTCAGGTCATGATCTCACGGTTTGTGGGTTGGAGCCACGCATCGGTCTCTGTGCTGACAGCTGAGAGCCTGGATCCTGTTTCAGATTCTGTCTCTCTCTCTCTCTCTCTCTCTCTCTCTCTCTCTCTCTCTCTCT